GAGGATGGACATGGGGCTGGATGGACACAGGGCTGGGATAGGGATGGACACGGGAATGGGATGAGAATGGACACAGGAATGGGATGGACACAGGGATGGATGGGGATGGACACACAGCTGGGACAGACACACGGCTGGGATGGACACAGGGCTGGGATGGACACGGGGATGGGATGGACACAGGGCTGGGATGGGAATGGACACAGGGCTGGGATGGACACGGAGATGGGACAGACACACGGCTGGGATGGACACAGGGCTGGGATGGACACACAGCTGGGACAGACACACGGCTGGGATGGACACAGGGCTGGGATGGACACAGGGCTGGGATGGACACAGGGCTGGGACAGACACACGGCTGGGATGGACACACAGCTGGGACAGACACAGGGCTGGGATGGACACAGGGCTGGGATGGACACGGGGATGGGATGGGAATGGACACAGGGATGGATGGGGATGGACACACGGCTGGGACAGACACAGGGCTGGGATGGACACAGGGCTGGGATGGACACGTGGCTGGAACGGGGATGCAGGACAAGGGATACTGGGGAGCACAACAGACACCAACCCACGCCAAGCAATTGTGGAAATATCTGTCTGTATCTTTGTTAGCAAACCTCTCCCCAAAACCATCGTGCACGAGGGGTCAGCTCCCTGTATCTGCTGGGAGAGAAGCAAATTTTCAAGTTTTTTACACTCAGCATCACCACAAGTTGTGTTCAGGTGGTGCTGTTCAGTTGGGGCTTTTTAACAGAATCTCATCAAAACTACACAAAAAGTCCTAGCATGGTGATTCTAACCCTAAAAGCTGTTTTTAGTTCACCAAAGCCAGAGGAAGTGCTGCAGAAATCTGAGTCTCTGCACTAAAACCTGACATTTTGCTGCACAGTGGTTTTCAGTGAAGTTCTTAAATCCTCACAGGGGTGTTTTCAGTTTTGTTCACTTCAGTATTTTGGCAATCATTAATTTAATTGGTTTATCAGGTGGGAATCCTGACGTTTCACTCCTCTTTTGCACCATCCCTTGGCAAATACAATTATTCTGGAAAAAAAGGGGGAATCTTCCTTTTCATAAACAAAAAAAAAAAGAGAGAAACCCCAGAAAAAAACATGGTGTTCATGTTTGTACTAATATTCAATCACAAGTGATCCTGGGGATTTCCTCATCACATGCACGTACATCTTACAAGAAGATTAATGATCAACAGGCTGAACAGGTTGGATGTTTGTTTTTTTCCAGAGCAAGGAGCATGATTACATTTTAATCTGGAAAAATAGGTACGCCAGCACATCTCTGTTCAGCTTGTAACTCACTGAGTAGCTTCTGGGATTTGTTGTATATTTGTTAAATGGCTTAGTGGGAAAAAAAAGCACAGAAGGAGCTCTAAAAATTATGATGAGAAGTCTTGTGGTAACAAAGAATATTTCCTCAAATGGACTGGGAAAGAAGAGACAAGCAATACAGCACATCAGTCATTTTCCAAATGGGAAGGAGCTCCTGGCTTTGTGGTGACAAGAGAGATTTTTAATTCAATTAAAAAATAAAATTTAAAAAAAAGAGTGAGAGATTTCTACATTAGTGCTTTAATGGCAAGTTTTTCAGAGGACAAAGAAAGGTGGCAATAAGGGGGAAAAAGAATATATTCTTAGTCTTCTAAGCATTTTTTAATCACTGTTGCTGAATCAGGGCCAGATGCTGTTTATGTCAAAACCAAAACAAAAGACAAAGGGAAGGCGCTGCAGCCCAGAATGGCACCGTCCTTCAGCTGCTGCTCAGCACTCCAAACTAACCTCCCCATTCCAGCAGCATCCTTGCTGGGATGATGGGTGTATTTCTGGGAGGCTGTTGATGGTGTGTGAGCACAAACAGCTGTGAAGGGCCTTTCCAGGAGCAGCAGCTCCTGCACAGCAAACCCCACTTGCTGCTGCTGCTCTGGCAGGCCACGGGCAGAGCCTTGGTGTCTGTGCAGCCCTGGGCTGTGTACATTGACATTTCTGTGCCCCACAGGACCCTGATTCGCTGTGCTTTTAGTAACAGACAATTGAGATGAGATGAATTTCAAACCTGCCTTGAAATGGGGCTGTGATGCTGGAGTGTGTGCTGGGTGGGGTGCACAGAGCCGTGGCAGAGGAGAATGACCTGACAGGGCAGGATGGAAATTCTCCAGGTCCTGGCACCTAATCTGTTTCCCATGGACAAATCGCTGTCATCCTGCTCTCCCCCTGCCCACATCCCCAGGGAGGCAGAGGGTCCTGTCCCCTCGTTTCCCAGAGGGATGGGCACACCTCACCCGTGGCTAAAGGATGGCTACAGACGTGTCCTGAGCAGCAGAGATGTGCTGGGTGTGGGAGCCATTCCTTTCTTGCTCTTTTTTGCACTATAAACCAAGACATTCCATGTCTTACCCCCTTATTCTTCTTCAGAAAACCAGTCCTGGCTGCTGTGCTTGGGTGGTGGGGTCTGTAACCCCTGTTAGTCTGGGGCTGACCTCCCACAGTCAAGGCCTGGGCCCCCGTGGGCTGATACAGCCTCAAGACCTCCCCTCTCCTGCCCTAAACATGAGATTCCCCTCTTGGAGGGGAATGAATCCCCCTAGGAGCAGGTTCTCACCTTCCTTTAATTTACCTGCAATGTTGAGAGAAGCCTGGAAATGTCCCTCAAGTCACGGACAATGTAAATGCTGTTTTCCAAAGTGCAGTATTTCACCTCCCTGGTGTTCTCTCCGAGGTGCTGACGCTGCTGGTGCTCATGTACCCCCTGCTCCGGGGTCTGGCTCTGCACCTGCACTCTGCTCTCACCGGCAGCTACATCCCAGGGACACATTCCATCGCCTTCGTCAACTGCCTCAACGAGCAGATCGCCAAGGACATCGCCAGGTACGGGGATGCTTCCCTTCCTTCTCTGCTTGAGGGGTTCCAAAGCTGGAATAAAGCTGAATATTTCCTTGTCCCTCTGTACTTTGCATCTTTAGGGGGACAGAGCAGCTGTGGGTGCCCCTTCCCTGGAAGTGTCTGAGGCCAGGCTGGATGGGGCTTGGAGCAGCCTGGGATAGTGGAAGTTGTCCCTGCTCGTGGCAGGGGATGGAGTGACATTCAATGTCCCTCCCACCCCAAACCATTCTGGGAATTTGTGATACCCAAGCAATGCTCCTTTCCAGTGACTCTGTGTCACAACCCCCTTGCCAGGAGCTGCTCTGTCCCAGGAAAGCTGACATTTGCCTCTGAAGTCAATGCCATAGTAACAGCAAGCAATTCTCAATTTATTTCACTGCCTTGCATTTTCAAGACCCATTTTCATGACCCTGAATTTCTGGGTTCTCAGATGGATTAATCTCCAACCTGATGTTCTCTGATCTGCCAGAGTCTTTATTCCTCCCTAGAACAACATAGACAACAAAATGCCAGGAGGGATATTTATAGAGAGGGACAAAGCACAGGGCTCTGACATGAAAATAAAGCAAGTATGAAAGGGGTCCACAACAAACACTTGTGAAGTTCCACTCTGCTCACCAGGCAAACTTCAGAGAATGAGGGCTTTTCCTCGATTTTTTTCCTTCTTCTATTTTAATGTATGAGATACTTTGCAGGCAGAGTTTTTTTCACACATCTGTCAGTCCCTGACTCAATGGATGGTCTGTTCAAAGAACTGAACCCGTGTTGACTGGGGAAGTGTTTATGATGGACCGTGAAGTTTCCTGCAACACCTCCTGCGCTGTTTTCCTGCTGCTCTGCTGCTGCCAAAACCCCTCCATCTCCAGCAAAGTGCTCCCAAACATGTTCAGGAACTGACAGGCTACTGAAAGAGAGTTTGTGTCACCTTAAATACTGCAACTGTGTTAAGAAATTCAAATAGAATTATGTCTGTGCTGCTCGATGTCTCCTAAAAAAAAAGGAGCAACTGTACCTGGTGAAAAGAGCCTCAGTTCTTAAAAATGCCTCATCTTAACAGCTTTGCAAATGCTTTCCACACTTTGTTCCTCATCTTGCAGGGAAGGGAGAGGAGATAAATCATTCCCTCTCGCTGAGATATGTGTACTTTGGTTGTGGCTTTACTGGTGGGGTAATTATTCCTTTGTTCTGGAATTGGGAGCAGTTTGGGAGCCCTGGTTGCAGAGATGACACAGGGCTTTGCACTCATTTCCCCTCCACTCCTTTTTCCTGTGCTGTCGTGTTTGTTCTTCCTTTGCACTGCTCAGTGGAGCACTCACTCTGATGGATCAGTCTGCAAGGAAATTTTCCACTGGTTTAAGGAAAAGGGGTTCAAGCTTTGGGAAAGCAGAAGAGCTGCAGGTAGAATTCAGCATCTCAAGACCTTCTTGCCTGTCCTGGGAGGAGCCCCCTTGGCTGGGTGGTATCACCCAACTTGACCAGCACCCCGCCAGCCCCCACTGCTGCCTTAGATTTGTGCTTATCATTTTCTTTGCTTTTCTGCTTATTAATATTTAATCTGTCTCACTTTAGAGCCTGTTGAGAGGCACAGACAAAGAAACACACAATTAAGTGCCCAACCCAAAGCTATCATGTATTATGCAGACATTTTCCACAGATCACATTCAGCTCCTTACAGTGTTCTCTGTTCCCCTGGTGGCCTCTTGTTGCTGCTCAGCTTGCTGGGACAAAGTTCAGGATCTCAGTTAGGATCTCAATTTATTGGGACAGAGCGCCAAAACCAAAAGGTTCCTGTGCTAAAGGGACTTGCAAGTTGCAGGCAGCAAATCCAAACTGATTTGTGCCATGTGTGACATGACAGGCACAGCAGGGGTGGCTCTGCTCGTGCTGCTGCACTTTGTTGGTCTAAAGATTAACTCAAGATGCTCCACGAGCATTAAATGCCTGGAACTGCCTACACATGGTGAGAGCAAACAACCCTGAGCCTCCTGGCGTGCTTTTCCTCTCCAGCCATGGTCCCCCCAAGGCAGCGTTGAAGAAAACCAAAGGTGGAGTCACTGGTGCCCTGCCTGGAGGGACAGCTGCCACCTCCATGAGAAGGGCCAGACACTGCTCTGCTCACAAAACACAACATTTCCCCCCTTTCTTCTAAAAATCCTGCCTGAGATTGCCTGGGTGCTCTGTAATCCCTGAAGTATCGCTTCTGCTGGCAGCCCTGAGCAGCTCTGCAGTAACAAACCCACAACTAATGAGGCTGCACAATTGATTTGGGCTTCAGATTTCTAGGACATTTTAGGTTGAAAAACCTTGATGTTGTTAATTTAACAGGATACACATTCAGGCTGCTCTGGGAGGAGGGGGCACAGTGGGACAGTGCCAAACAAACCCTTCCCATCCGTCTCAGGCCGGGTTCTTGTCCTACGGTTCAGTCCCTGCCCTGGTGACCCCACAGCCAGAGGGGCACAGGGCTGGCACTGGGCAGGGTCCTCCAGGCCAGGAACAACACCCAAATTCCCTCCTCAGCACCAGGAGGGTCCCAGAGCCCTGCCAGGGGTGCCTGATCTGAAGTGTCTCCAGCCAAAGTTCACATTTGCCTCTGTTTTCTCAGGGTAATAAGTAACCCAAAATTCCATGTCTCCAATGCCAAACTTGCTGCTGCCAGTCCTGGGCAGCACAAGGGAATGTCCCCAGGGCTGGGGATGAGCCCTGGGCAGGGCTGGCACTCACTCCACTCCTGTCTCCCCCAGGGCCATCATGGATAAAAAACTGGCTGCCTACGTGAATATCCTGCCCAAGAGCTCGGCCTTGTAAGTTGGGCTGGATATTCCCCAAGGGAGGAGGCAAACCTGGGCTCCTCAGGGAGGGAGGGAGGGAGGGGATGCACACACACCTTTCCAGAAGGCTGCTGGGTCTGTTTATTGCTGCAGATGGTGGGGACGAGTCTCACTATGCTCGGAGCTTTTTGAGGAGCACAGATGCTCCAACTGCCCATGGGGATCATTCATTTCTTGGTTACTTGGCTACACAGACATCCAGCAATTTAGGGTTTATGGTCCTGAGGACATGGTGCCTGTTATTAGAGGCTCTAAAAAGCAGCCAAGATAGGGACCAGAAAAGGCCTTTACAAAATTAAGCAGCTTTTTCAGGCAGGAAGAGCGGCAGGTTTGACCTTGGAATGGGCCCAGCCCTGCTCTGCAGGTGTCCCCAGCTGTCCATGCAAGGGGACTGCACTTGTTAGAGGGGTTCAAGAGCAAAGCCCCAAAACAGCTTTTCCTCACAGAAACACCCTGGCAGAAGTGAGGAGCAGATCCCACCACAAATTCCCTCAGGAGGGGATCCCTACAGTGCACCCCTGAGGGCAAACCCAATAATGCCCTTCTTGCCCTTATCCATCATTTCCTGCAAACTCAAAGAGCCAGAGCAGAGCTGCTCCTGCACAGCCCTGGCAGCTCCAGCTGGATTCTGCTCCGTGCCCTGCTCAGGAGACACCGCGACGCCTCCGAGTCCTCCTCGCGCAGGAGCCCTGCAGGCAGATGAGATCAGGACGGGCTCCTGGCAGCAGAAATGTTTTCAAAGGTCATATCTGACTCATGAGAAGTGCAGCTCCTCTCCTGCAGGGAAAGAGAGGAAGAAAGCTCAGCCTCCCAGCCACAACCCCTGCAGGCACTGTCCCCCGGCCCTGCTCAGAGCGGGGCCACCACAGGGCACCTCAGTCCCAGCAAATTTGCTCTGCCAGTCCCCCTGGGCAAATTCTCTGGAGGAGGCTCTGGTCCATAAATCTGGGGTGCTCACTCGTGTGCTCAGCAGTTTTGGGGCCAGCAATACCTCTTGAGCCACTTTGTAAAGAAAAAAAAAGGTGCAAAAAGCCCCAAGCAGGGAAAGTAACCTGAGGGTTGGCATGGCTGCAGCCAGAGCTGGATTTGCTGATGCTGCTTTTCTTTTAAATCCAGATATTTCTGGAAAGGGGAACTGGAAGAATCCACTGAAATACTGCTGGTAAGTGATCATTCCCTACATCACAAAAATCCCTGTTGCGAGCAGTCCCAGCTGAAAGGGGCTGCGGGGAGGTTTGGGGAGGGAGGCACCAACCTGCCCTGGGTTTGGGAACATCCCGCAGGGAAGAGCCCTGGGAGAGCTCCTGTCACAGCCCTGGCTGTGCTGGGTGGGGGCAGTGGAACTGCACATCGGGATCCCTCCATCCCTTCACATCTCCCCTGGGGCTTGTTTTGGTTTTTTACTCTCCACAGTTGGTGAAAACAAGGACGTCCAAAATAGGGGAATTGTCCAACTACGTCAGGTGAGGCTCTGGCTCCACAGGAGCATGGGTGTCCCATCCATGGTAGGCTGTCACCTTCTGCTCCAGCTTTGGGAGTTCCTTGAGCCCCTTCCCACCCGGATTAAGTGCTCCTGCTGTATCTTACAAGCCAGAAAAACCCAGAGATGGCATCAGCAAAAAGGAAAAGTTGGCAGAAATATCAATTGCTGGGCTTCACCCGGCCCTCCATGCTGGGTTCCAGGAGGGATCCTCCTCCTCACACAGGTTATCCTGGCAGGATTTCCTGCATTTCCCGAGGGGGGAGCACACTCAGCTTTGGGCCAGGCCCCCGGCAGTCTGTGGTAAACCCCAAACTCAAAGCAAAATTCCCAGGTGGCAGAAGGCAGCTGCGGGTGCTTTGAAGTGCGGGAGGGCGCGGCAGGGCCGGGGCTGGAGCGCGGCTTCCAGCGGGGCTGGCGCTGCCTCCGCTCCTCCGCGCCTGTTTCCACTTTAGATCCATCCATCCCTTTGAAATCCCCGAGATCATCAGCCTGCCTATCGACCAAGGAAACCCTCTCTACCTCCGGTGGATAGAGGAGAACGTCCCGCGGGACTGAGAGGCGCAAAGCTCAGCTCATTTTTGGGGAGGCCGGGACCCCCTGAGCCGTGCGGGAAGCGGCTTTTGCCTTCTGGGCTTTGCTGTGACACAGGAGCTTGGGACAGGGAAACCTCGGCCTGCCCCGGAGCCTGGGCTGAGCTGGGGAAGCCTGCACTACAAGCTGTGAGGACACGCGGAGATGTTCCTGTCAGGACACTCGGGGCTGCCTCAGGCTGTCAGCGGCGAATTCCAGCTGGGAGCCGTGGCCTGGCAGCCCCAGCAGTGCCATGTGTCCCCACAGGCAGCCCTGACCCCTGCCTGGCCCCCGCTCCGCATCCTGCCCCGCTCCGCTTCCCCAGCCCGGAGCTGCAGGATGTGGCCGGGACCCCCCTCCCCTCCGGCAGCCAGCCCGGCCCGGGAGCCTGGCAGGACTGCAGCAAACACCGCCAGGATTTAGCAGGAGCAGCGCTCACAAACCTCTGGCCCGTCACGGAGAGCTGGGCAGCATCACAGTTCAGGGAAGCCGAGTGCCAGCAGGACCACGACACTGCCCTGGCCCTGCCCCTACCCCCACCTGAGCAGTGGCTTTCTGCCCAGGCCAAGGTGAACCTTGTAAAAAGATCCTTATGTTAATGGTTTCTGGGATGTTCTTGTGGAGCATTTTTGCGTTATTTATGTGGCTGGGAAGGGAATAAACAGGAGAGTTTCTAACCTGGGCAGACTCTGGTGGTCACAGCTGGGCAGGATGAAAGGCCTGTCCTGGGCTTGCACACCTCACCTGGCACAGAACACAGCCCAGCAGCACCAGCTGCCCGTGCTGGGCACTGGGCATCCCAACTCAATAATCCTCACGCTACAAAAAAACAGTGACGTTGAAAAAAACCCCTCTTTTTAATTGTACATCAGACACATTAATTACAACTTGGGTATAAACGAGACTTGCTTACAAGCAGCAACCTGAACTCAGAAATCAGAAGGTGCACAGAGTTGTTATAATCTCTATTACAGCGAATGCAAAATATACTCTGCAACAAAAATACTTTTAAAGGCTCCACATTCAATTCTCTGCAAGCCAGGAGAGGAGGAGAGGGAGCAGAGAGGAGCCAGGGCCACATCCTGTGGGTGCTTCCACGAGTGTGGTGTCCATTGGCACATCCCACAGGCATAACCCTGCTCAGCCCTGGCACAGCTCTTGGCAGCCCCTTGGAAGGGCTCCTTAGGCACTAAGAAAGGAAAATATTTGAAGTGATCCTTCAAGGACAAAGCTAAGGCAGGACAGGGAGTTCTCCAGCTGCTGGATGCCTCCCTGCCAGGGATAGGGGGACCTGGCAGCACCTCTCCCAAAAGGACAGGGACACTCTGCTCCAGATGAGCCGAGATCCCACAAGCACAGGTAGGACAGGACAGGATCTGCTGCTGGACAGGACCCCACCCTCCATCCCATGGGACAGCCACGGTGGGATGGGGGAGAGATGAGGAGGACATTAAAAATATCTTTCTCTCTCTCTAAAGGAAAATAAATCTAACACATCTATCTGATATTGGAATCTTTTAAAAAGCCAACTGCTCTGCTCCTGCCCAAGCTGGCAGTATTGCTTTGTTAAAGGAGGGGGCTGCTCCTTCTCTCCTGCAGACAAATCAAGCCCAAAGCTCACAAACATCAGCACTACAAGAGAGGCACAGCCAGGAGGTCACAGGGACCCTGGTACAGCCCCTTCCCCCTGCCCCCACTGTCCTCTTCAGCCTTTTTTGGTTTGTCTGCTGGTTTGGCACATTTGGGATGAAGATTCCTGTAGAAACAAAGGCCTTGGGCTCCAGTCTGTGAAGTGCCCATGGTGGTTTTAAGGCAAAGGAGGATTTTTTTGGATGATCTCTTCCAAGATCATGATTGTCAGAACAGGGAAATGAAGCTGGTGCAGCACCACACACAGTCCAGATCATGGGGTGAGAGCACATCTGCCCCACGGCTGCAACAGCCACATGTGGGCTGGTTTTGGGGCATTTTCCTCCTATATGAAACAAACCACATTCCTTTAATGAATGGATTCAGGATGAGGTGGAAAACCCCAAGAGTTTCCCTGGTTTCCCATGGGCACAGAGGTGTGAGAGCTCTCACAGGAGCTGTGAGAGCCGAGGGATGAAGAGGGGTTTGTGTTTTGGCAGCAGGACCCCCCCGAGGCTGCTCAGTCAGGCTGGGACACCGGGATGAGCCCGGCTGTGCCAGGCACAGCTCCCTCTGTGGGAGCAGGGGGTGCCCCCCAAGCAGCTGCTCCAGCTGTGCCAGGGGGACCCTTCTGGAAGGGCTGGACACCCTCACTGCTCTCACCAGCACCGGGCTCCATCAGGAGGGCACGGCTGGGCCACACTCTGCACAAACACAGCCAAGGGACTAGAAATCGTTAACGTTAAGAAGCAGAATGGCAGGGCTTCGTGTTTCATTCCTGGGCAGCACTGCTGGCCTGGGAGCTGCCTCCACCAGCCGAGATTGCCGGGGGGAGGCACCAGCACCTCTCCTGTGCCTCACAGGCTTCCCCAGCAGCCCGATCTCCTCTGCTTTGGCTCCGGGAGAGGTTTCGGGGCTGGCGGGGCTCAGTAAGGGGTCGTGCCTTCCCACTCCACCAGGTACTGCACCTTCCCCTCCAGCGTCACCCGCCGTGCCAGCACCTGGTACTTCTCCCCGCACACCAGCCGGCCCGCGGCCCCGAAGTAGCTGCTGATGGAGGACTTGAGGTGGGACAGCGAGGAATCGTCCTCGCTGATGCTCTCGAAGGTGTGGCTGTCGATGCCGTCGTCGGGGCGGTCGGGGCCGGCCGCTGCCTCGCT